AGTGCTGGACTCTGTCCCGGAGAGAAGGTGGTGGCCCATGCAAACCTAGGGGCGGCGGTATAGAGACAGGCAAGGCCACCCCCATTGCGAAAGGTGCCTGCTTCATCTCATCTACCTGTGACCGATGACCCTGACTGCCCAGCCCACCGACTACAGAGGCCTTGCCCACTCTGGAGACTGCTCAGGACTTCTGGTAGGGTCCTTACTGGATCAGAGTTCTGATGAACTATGTGTCCTCCCTCCACCCCCAGTCCGACAGGAACAGAGTAGCCGGAGCCCTCCGGAGTCCCCACATACCGGTTCTGGTGCTGCTCCTGTGAGGTTCCAGCTTTGCTCCACCCACAGTAGCCTTCTCGAGAACTCCAAACCCCACCCCATTCACGTCCCAGCCCCCTGACCCTCGCTCTGGCTCCAGCCCTGGCCCTGACGGAAGTAGGCAGGGGATGCCACGTGATTTTGCCTCCTGCGACAGTCCTCAGGCAACCGTCCACCCAGACAGTCAGCCTGGGAACTGGCTCCGGCCTCGGCCACTGCCCTCATTTCCTCTGCTGGCTTCCTGAGCTGGGGGTGGGGAAGGCCACAGCCACTGGTCCGACTGCCACTAGTTCCTCTGTGACAGGCAGGCAAGGCCCAGACTACAGGGACATGAAATCAGAGCCCCAACAGGCACTATGAGCCAGCTTGTCACACGACAAGAACAAGGGGTGACACAGGGGTCTCCCCACCATAGACATAGCCTTCAGCCTACCTGGGAACAGACGTCAGAACCCCTGTCCTTTGAACAATAAGAGCAGGTCCCCTCATGGTCTGCCTCGGGCTTCCGTCCAGTTGACCCTAGTCCGTCCCCGTCTCAATAGCCATGAAAGAAAGGCAGGTGGCCACAGTCCCGGGAGGAGGGCCTGGCAGAGCACTGGGCACAGCCCACCCTCAGGAAGTACTCCATGAGTGCAGGACAGGTGCCAGAGACATCAAGGACATTAGCCACCAGGACCCGCCACATATACACAGATGCGTGGCCAACTGCGGGCTTGCCAGCTCCTGCCTTGGTCCCTAGGCCTGAGGGCTACTATACCTAAATGCCTTGGCTGCCTGGGTGAAGATCCCCAAACTGGTGGCTTCTGTGGGAACGGTTCTTTCCTGGCCCCGTGACAAGCCTGGCAGTGGCAGGTGGCTCAGGGAGGACTGCACAAGGCTCTGCTGGCTCTTCAGCTTGGGGTCTCGGCAGCCCTCTGCTAGCAGTGCTTTTGCTTGGCTCCAATACCTCTCCCCACACCCCTCCTTTTTGCATCCTCTTAGCAGGATATCTGCCACTGGATTTAGGGCTCACCCCACCCTGAGGTTTTGAAGGGGTCATAGTCCCGGTGATACCTCTCAAGTGAGCACACACTTGTAGAACCCTTGAGACGGAACAGTGGAGCTCAGGCAAAGAACCCTGTGTCCTGCAGAACAAGACAAGGGAGAAGGGAGCTCACACCCACAAGAGTCCCCCACAGAGGTGCCTGCACACTGTGCACACAAGGTACATGTGTGCAGGTACACACTTGGACACGGACATGCCTAGGTCCTGCCAGTCCGACTATGCCTGTCTCAATCGCCATGTGGGAGGTGCGTGTTGCAGGTATGTTTATGCCCATGTCTGTGTGTGCCACACATGTACAGGAGCCTGCATACTAGGGAATGTTGGAGAGAGCAGCAGAAACCCCACACGTCTCCTGCCCCTGCCCCAGGGTTCTGTGACCGCCCTCTGGTGGTTTCGCTGGACTGCTCCCATAGAAGCAGCCTGTACATAGCCACTGCCAGCATTGAACCACCTCTCAGCCTGGTCACCCCAACCTACAAGCTTTAATGGCTGGCTCATCAAGAGGAGGTCATACTGAGGTAGGGTCGGTCTTAAATCTAGGCCCTAAGCCTCCTGTCACGGGGCCCAGAGGCAGGGTGAGAAGCCAGAGGCAGCACCCTGTACCCTACATTCAGCTGCTATGAAGGCCTGGCCAGTTGGTGCCTTCAACCAGGTCCAGTGGCGATCAGGAGGGTGTCACTCAGGGAGTCACAACTTTCCATATTCCAAGTCCGTCTGTGAGCCAGGGACTAGTACTCCTGGGGACTCCCTGGCTCGTTTTCAGGGCTGCCTTTGTCCCAAGTCCCAAGTATACCCAACCATGTGCCACTCAGCCCTAGGTCTTCTGCCACAGTCACTACAAGCCCAGGGATGCCAGTCCCATACCCTGTCCCACATGGGCACCAAGGAAACAACACCCCAGAGAGGCACAGCCAGGGTCTTCATTCGGAGCCCACAGTGTGGGGTGGGGGGAGACTCGAGCAGGGACCAGGATGTAGGCTGAGGGGCTGGAGATAACGAGCAGCGGGCACCGTGCAGGGTAAGCGGGCAATGGCGGACAGCGGAGAGGGACAACCATGCCTTCTCTGCGCTTCTGCAAGCTGCCAGGGTGGCTGCCAGCTCCATAGCCCACCTGCCTCAGGCAGGAAGCCGGCAGAGGCCGCCTTGACCAGCCTTGCCTGGTGCTCAGTGCTCCACAGCACCACATGGACCACCTTACAGATAAGCAAACTAAGGACCAGAGCGGGGGGGCCACCCGCCCGCACCCCCCCCCCCCGTGGGGGCGGGGGCGGCTAGGGCTCCCCCAGCCCCGGCATGCGGGACAGTCCCAAAGTATCCTGGGAGTGCAGGTTCCTCCAAGGGAGGCACCTCACTGGAGTCCCTACACCACTGCTAACGGCACTGGTCACTAGCGACACCAGCGACAGTACCAGGCCCCAGCAAACATCCCCGCCTAAGGTCCGACCCATTTTTGCTCCCTTAGCTGCACCAGGCACACTGAGGAGGAGAGTGAGAAACAAGGTCAGTCCCCTGCCTCAGTGTGAGCTGACTACCTTTCACTCAAGGTCATCAGCTCCTACCCCTTCCAGCTGCTCTTGTCCTCCATGACCCCCTGTCACCCCTTTTCCTTGCCTGTCATGCTCTGCCTGACTGGAGAGCGCTCTCAGAGAGATTTAGGGAATGGCCGAAGAGCACACAGCCAAGAGGCCACTGAGTAGGGTCTGCCAAGAAATCCTTAATGGTCACCCACATCCTGGGTGACAGGGAATGGGGCACAGAGTTAGACTTCACAGCAGGCCCATCTGGGCGCTTGCCCAGCCATGACACCCCATGATTATGTTCAGCCCCAGCAACCTGTCCCGTCCAGTGTGGCTGTGGGGCCCAGCATGCTAACAGCCTCCACTTCAAACTTGCCTGACAGTCCTATAATGTTGAAGACCTGGCCATAGGTGCAAGGGCTTGTCAGGGGACTGTCGGGGAGCACTGGAGAACTCATAAACACATTCTTCAACCACACAAACACGAGCCTTCCTTTGAGTTTTGGTGACTCTAATTTCAACAACATCAGATAGACCATCTCTCCCTACTATGGACATGGAAAAAAGCCATTCAGCTTCTGCGGGCACAGGGGCCTTCAGGCACCAATTGTGCCCATACCTCCTCACCCTCACAAATGGCTCCCCAGGTTCCTCCTCCAAGCCAGAGCCAGCCATAGGCATCACCATTCCATTTCCCGAAAGGGGAAGCAGAAGCCCAGAGAAGCAGACAGACACAGGGACTCTGATGGCAGAGTGGCTTGTGAGCACAGACTTAGTGGGAGGGCAGTGGAGCCCATCTTTCCCTCCAGCACCCTCAGGACTGGCCTTGCTCCCCAGTAAGTCCCCCATCGCCACCATCCAAGCCCTCAGGGCAGCAAGGGCACCATGTCCATAGGCACACAGCTCTCCCGTCCCGCTAGATCATTACACCAACACACTGTAATTACACAGATCAACTGCGCAAGAGCTGCCTGCAGTCGCTCCGAGGTGGGGGAGGGGCGCTTCTGTCCTGGGCACCCTAGAGAAGGAAGGGGTGACAAGCCACCAGAGCAAGTCTGGGCAGGTGGGAGGATGCAGGGCTTCCTCCCTCCTGTGAGCAGCCTAGGCCCCACCCCTATCCAAATAGCTCTAGGGCCACCTGTCTGTTAGTCTGGAGTAGCCTTCTGCAGGAAGGACCAAGTACTGGGTAAGGCTTGCGATGGGGGACATCCTGGAACCCTGATGCTGAGGATATCTGTCCCTAAAGGGGGTCTGGGCCTGAAGCTGCTGCTCAAGGCACCTCCACTCCTGCCCTAGCTTTAGTGGGACACAGTCACTGCTGCTAGGGTCTGTGCCTTTGGTTAAATGGTAAATGGTGACCTTCAAGCCCCTTGGGTCAACCAGGAAGTCACTTCTGAACAAGGGACACTGACAGCCCTAGGCCCAGAAGGCAGCTCCCATCAGCCCCCTCCCTAGTAGCAAATGCCTTCAGATGTAGTCCTGCCCAGGGGACACGGTGCATCACAGCACACACTGGCCCCACTCCAGGAGGGAGACCCAGGAGAGACATCACGTGTGAGCTGGGCTTTGTTTGGGCTGTGCAGCCCAAGCGAAAGCCCAGGGGACATGTGGGTGGGACTCCAGGACAGAGAGGTTCATTACCCTCCCACTCAGGACAAGCAAACAGAATCTGCGTTAGAGACAGCTGCCACAGCCCCCTCTGCCCTCCACAGCTGTCCACCCTGCTCAGGCAGCCGTGGTAAACACATTATCCCTGTGTCCACAAGCCAGGTGGAGCAAGAGGCCCACCCCCAGGTCCTGTGCAGCCAGCTGGTCGGTACCACCTCTCTAGAGGGGGATCTCAGGTGGGCTCATGTTAGGGGTCTTCATTGGCCCCCCACACACACACCCACCACAAGCTGCCGGGGTGGGGGTGGGGGACTGGCTGGACAGGGATTTGTAGAAACCAGCGGCAGGTTTGGGAAGGGGCCTTCCGCACCAAAACATGGACCAGCAAGCTCCCACAGTGGGCCTGGGCTCCTACCCTGCCTTGCAGAACACCCCTCACCTCCCCAGGGCCCTGAGTCCTGGCAACCTCTCTCCGGGACACCTGGGGCCAACACAGGCCCTCTTGTCCCAGTTACCTGCGCCAGGGAAGCATCCAAAGAGACAGGGGCTGATGCTGCCAGCCAGAGCTGAAGGGGCCGGCTGTGCAGAGGGTCTGGCCCCAAGGCCTGCCCACCTCCGGAGACCTGTAGTGGGTCCTCGCCGGTCCCTGTTCTTCTGCGGGGACTCAGGGCAGAGAAAGGGTTAATTTCCAGGCAAAATGGGAAACCGTGGCTCCAGCAGCATCATGTCGGCAGTGGGAAGACAGGTGGGGGGGCAGCTGCAGCCGCAAGGCCGCCTCCGAGGGCGCCGCGCGGACTCACCCGGGTCGAAGTGGGAGCTGAAGGCAAAGCTGGGGTTGAAGAAGGACGACGACATGGCCAGGGCCAGCAGCGCGATGGGCATCCCCGGGGCCGGCGTTGCGCTCAGGCTCAGAACGCCCGCGGCCTGGGCCAGCGTCCCGGCATCATCGTCCAGCG